AAAAAATTGCATTCACATATCCTAATAACTTTTGGTTTATTTGACTCTGAACGCAAAACTATATGAATGATTGTCCCTGTTTCTAATGGGTTGGCAGCGTACTGTAATTTACTCTAATAGTAATTAAGATTTTGAATATCACAAATTAATATAAGTATTTTTATTTCACTTTTGATCCATAATAAGAAGCATATACTCTTGTTAGTTTATATAATAAATACAGTAATTAGTAAAATTATTAAGAAATAACTTATACTAGTGTTCAACAAATTTTAAAAATTGTTTTCTATTAGAACAGTATTTCGTAAAGTTTTACCTACATTAACTATAGTGTAGTATTACAGCTTTTCGCCACTCAGATTCAGGATATTATAGTAGTCGTGATCAGGAAAGCGTTCCAGTTCGATATAATCCATCTCAGTATGTAGTAGTTTATCTAGCATTTGGACCAATTCTACAAAAGTAGGGCGTTCATTAGGATCACCTGACCAGCAGTAATACATTATGTTATACAGTTCACGTCGGCAATGTTCAGGTTTCCCAAGACGGTATCCATCGCGTACCTAAAAACACAGAAGTTAACTATATCTTAGCGTCATTATGTGAAGGAAACTGTGGGTATCTGTTGTCATGTCCTGTTTAGATTTTAGCATATGTTAAATATTTGTAAAAGGGTTTTTTTTTAATATTTACATACAGATGAAATAATTTGTCCTCAATTTCTACAGTCTACAAATTTAGAATAACTACTTTCCCCTCTCAGAACTTAAAACTGTAAAAGTGGTACAAGTGGTCAATTATCATAATTTTTAATTAAACCTTATCTTGATGTAACTTTTTTGAGAGGTTTCTTTTAGATGCATAAGACCTTATGATTGACGGTGTTTTTTTTTTTGAAACTAATGAACAATATGTTTACTTATTGTGTAATACAAAATATTTAATGATGCTCTGCGTATAAATGGCGGAGAGTCTGGCTACTGTATAAGGTGATACGGTTTTTTTGGCTTAAGCGTTTCTTTCCATTTACTTTGAACGACAATAGACCTGGCTTCAGTGTTCACATGGTCAATTGATTCAATTCCGAGATCGCGTTCAAGATCGTGACTGCGAACATACCAAGGCGCATCTTAAAACTTTGTTTTGGAATTGATTTTTGTACACTTCCTAAGTGAATAATCATTCCTGTTAGAAATATAGTTAGATAAACTTTTCGAACAATAGCTGAGAGTAATTTTTTTAAATGCCTTTATTTTATTGGTAAATTTTGCAAAACATTTTGCTAAGTGAAYTTTTGTCAGATGGAGATCTTATTTGTTGAAACTTTCGGCGTAATGGGCGCTTTTCTGCTTTCATTTCTTTTACTATGTTCGGACCGACATTGAAAACATTTTGAAAACACATTTGTATGTTGTGGAATCTAAGTCATTCGGACCGACAATGTGTGTTTTCGATGAGTTTTCACTGACAACTATTAAAAGCGGTATTCTCTTACTGTTGCAAGATTGCACGATGACACAAAATGCAAAAATCCTTTACCGAAATATGCAAAGCCAAGAGAGCACCCATTACAGAATCTAGCGATATATGATGGCAGGAAAATAAACATGGGTTTTGGTCTGACATATTTTACAGCCATTGCAATCAATTTTCTGCGTGTGTTTGTTGTTATGCCGTTGCACCAAAGGGAAAATTCTGCAATTTCTGCACGGTGCAAGGTTTTGCAAGAGCAAGAGAATCGCTATCATATGAGAATATCAAGCGACAGCTGTATTTGTACGTGGATTGTAAACAAATATCAAGTGACAATTTAGGGCCGGCAAAACATGTCTTCCAAAAACATCGATTAAACTAGAGCAGGAACCGATTATAATGAGTGGAATGTAAGTTTTCAATTAGTTTTCAGCGAAAACTGTGTTCTCGTTTGACAGATTTTACATGGACGAAAACACAAGTTTTCGTGCGAAAACCAGTTTTTGCCACGAAAACATGTTTTCGTTGTCGATCCGAACATAGTATTTAATTTCTTTTGTATATTTATAACCTGTTGTAACGTTTCTTTTAATTGGTGTACTACTTCAAGCATAGATTTGGAAAGTATTCCCAGTCAGTGTTTTATTTGTTAGCAAAAGTGGTGGTACCTTAATAACGACGCATTCGTGTAGTGTTAAATATTTGTTGAATGGTCAGAAGTCATATCCAACCCCTTTTCTATGCACATATAATTTGAAAATATATGCTTCCAATAACACTCTGTCCTTTGTGGTTATAAGTCTGGAGCCCCAGTGTGTATGTTTCGCATTACAACCTACCTATTACAAATCAGTTTTTATGGTTATTGATCAGTACTATATAAATATCGGATTTTATTTGGTGTCTTAGTGGGGATTCTTCTGTAGATATGTGGTTTTCTTCGTGGTGGCTTGTGTTGCGCAGCTCCTCATCGTGCACAATTTTTCGGATGTATTGCATGATACATTTCAAAGTTTCTGAATTTAATGTAAGTTTGCTTGCTAAAATAGGTCTCAGATATTAAGCATATGTAAATTTTTCAGTAACGAGTATTGTTTTTAGCTAATTTTTTGGTGTTTAGTAAGGCCGTTTGCGTCCTATAGCATAAWTTTTACGAATTCAGTCATACTTGTATTTATTTATTTTTCTTTTTGTACTGCTTTCTCGAGCTTATGAAGGATCTTCCCAAGTGCAATGGTAAACTAATWTTATTTTGTAATCTTTTTCAAGATTTGTTGGAGTATGCAAGCATCATTTGAACAAGTATTCTCTTTTGAAACTTACGAATATTTACTGTTGAAACTTTATTTTCAGCAATTGGTTGGCGTATTGTGTTTGTTGGGAGGCTCTTGTCATTTTGTCAGTCGAGTTTTTAGGACGTGGCTCCTTTGTACCAGTTCTTTGGTCACGAATCTTTTGGAATTCTTTCGCAACTACGCATCCTATGTAGTTAGAAAGACATATCGCGTATGTAATGGCTCTTTCGTTTCCACTTTAGTTTGTTGACTGCATTTATAGGCTTGAATCCCTTTTTATGAAGGTCTGATATTAAAACCTCTAGCTCGTCTGAGTGATGTAAATTTTTAGCGCTAACCTTTATTTGTCGAGATTGCTTATTTTCATAGGAAAACCATGCTAAATTCTATATAAATACAGAAATTTAATCATCAGAGTCGAATGTATTATGTAAATGCTTGTTTTGTCACATCATTCGTAATTTTATATATTTTTTGATATTCACAGTCACCCGATATTTTTATTGGTGGAGGTCGTGAGACTTGCTTTTATGTTTGATTTCCTCTTTTATGGTTTTTGATATAGCTTAAACCACAAGCTGAGGAATTCATTCAGATTTCCTTTTTTTACAGGGCCGTTTTTCAAGATCCAGTCTGGTTCGCGGACAAGCTCTTATTAACAATTTCTCTATTATTTCCAACTGCCTGGATTGTTGGTTTAAAATTGTTTCAAAATAAATAAGTTTATTTGCGGTAGTTTCCACCAGTTGGAGACGTTCGGACATTAGAGTAACATGTGTCAAAAATCATATAATACGTTTGCCAATTTTGGTGTACTCTTTTAGGCTTGTATAATGCAGGTAAAAGCTTAACTACAAATAACGCAAATATAATTTGGTTCCTATATTGGATAACAATGAAGGTTATACTGTGGTAAGTCCAATAAGAACAAATGGTAATAGTTGTCTTACATCTCCTGACAAACATTTAGCAGATGCGAGAGCCTATGCATTCGATCATCTCACCGCACTTCAACTTCCATGTAATCTCCGTTAAAAGCACTTCCGTGTAGAAATATTTTTTTTTAAATTAAGTTATTGTAAATTTTTAAAAATATTTAGGGGTTTCACATAGTCTCATAAAGTTGTAAGTTATAACGAATTGTATTTGCGTAAACTTATTTTAGTATGCAATCCAACAACAAATTTTTTACACTACCGTAAAAATTTATGATTTTATAATTTTACGATAATTTATGACACGTTGTGAGTACCCCAATTTAATTTATTTCTATCACTCTTTTGTTCTCTCCACTTCGCTCCAGGGTTGCCAGAGATTAAATGAAACGAATGTTGTGAGAGTGAAAGCGATTTCATATCCAATTCGTAATGGAACTATAGTATTTTATAATGAAAGCGGCAAGCGATATTATATAACTGTACACAATATCAATAGCGATTTTGGAGCAAAGTGGAGTTCTGAGAAAAAACATATATACCCTGTTAAAAATCAGTTTTAAGGAGAAGAAAAACCTACGTTAACTATTATGTAATTGTGTAATATATTTATTTCGGCTTAAAAATTGTTAGTTTAAGAATACATACATATTCAACAATATAAATCGGATTTTATGAACCTGGATTACGAAATTGGTTGCAATGAGCAATTCGGATTAATAGAGATTATGTACCAGTTCCACTGATTTTTAGCGAAACTATAAAATAGAGTGCTGGTTAAAATATTCGAATCTAAATAATATTATTAGTTTTAGAAGGAACTGAAAAATTTACCAACAAAGCTAACTAGTATTATGCCAAACTATTTTAAAAAATTAAATCATATATGTTTCTACATTGAAATAAYTTAATTGATAGAATTTGTATTTAGTATTTTGTAACGAACGATTTTTGCAACCGCTTTTGTAAATATAGTACCTTACGCATGACATCTGCCGCAGAGATACCAGGATATGGTGTTGACCCCAAAGTGACTATTTCCCACATCAAAATACCAAAGCTCCATATATCAGATTTTACGGAAAAAATGTTGTCATAAAGGGATTCAATAGCCATCCATCTGCGAAATAATTTTGATAATTGTTATTTTAATACGAATTTGAAACGTATTTGCGCCATTTATATAAAATAATTCTTTATATACTATATATTCCCGTGTCGATTAGACCAGAATAAATAATTTTTGAAAGCAGAAAGATAAAATAAGAAAAGTTAAGGGAAATTATATTATTATGGTGAGTGTTCTTATAAAATGACAAGAAAGTATTCAAACATGTTTTTCATTAGGCTAATAGGCAAAGAAATAAAAAAACAATATTTAAGGTTCCGTTTTAGGTGTTGGCTAAATAAGTCTCAGACCCCCCTCACAATATTACACTCCCACTCCACACACATTACATACACCACATCATCATTCCACTCCACACCTGCATTCCACACCACATCTTCATTTCACTCCACATCTCACGCACACAACATAACGAATTCAACACACATGAGGACACCACACAAAAGGGAACAAAARGGACCGACGGACAAGTCTTTTTTTGATTTCGACCGCGAACTCGGACAGTTAACTTACGTTCCTCCGTGCCATTTTTAATTTCGTTGCGCATCTTGGTTTTATACTGCGAGGTAAGTGCCCCGAGTTTTTGGTCATTAATAATTATTGTCTTTCGAGCCGTACCGGAAGGTACCAGTGGTCAAATCAGAATTTTGACATTTCGCTATGTAAGATTTTCTTTTCCTTTTGTGTCAAACCTTTATGTCAAATAAAATACGAAGATCGCTCTCTTTCTTTTTGGAAATTCGCCATAGAAGGACGTGCCCACACAAACGCTCCACAATGGTGACCCCGCACATTTTTACTTTTTACTTACTATTTGTCTAAATTTTTTATTATGAGTCTCGACGAAAGTCAATTGGTTTCTGAAGGAGGGAACATTTTAGAAAATGCTACAACACGAAGGACGTTGCCCCAGATGCGATAGGATAATATTGAGGCATATTTTTATTCTTTAAACTTTTGGTTCGATGCAGTGGGCATCGTGGCTGACATAATAAAGTTTAGCATCGTTTTGGCAAGCGTTCCACCTTCAAAGTTAATGGAACTGCGTACCATAGTTGATGCTGCTCCGCGCACGAATAAATACGGCTACATTCGGACAAAACTGTTGGAAAATTTTACGGAAAGCCAGCAGCGACGCCTGCAGCGTGTACTTTGCGAGATGCCCCTCGGCGAACGGCGCCCAAGCGACCTTTACAACGGGATGAAGCGCGCCGCGGGAACCACGTTAAGCGAGAGCATACTTCACGACCTCTGGATCACTCGGTTACCTACATATACGCAAGCGGAAATCATCGCTACAAATGTGCCAATCGTCGAAAAGTTGAAGATCGCCGACTCCATTACGAAGTCCATTAAATTGCGCCAAGGAGACTGCAGCGAATTGTGCACCGTACAACAATCTACCGACAAAGATCTGAGATCTGTATTAAGCGACCACGGACATCGGTTTCGGTCTAGATCTAGATCTAGGACTCCGGCAGGTATCCGTAACTCACACAACAGCTCCAACGAAATGTGCTGGTATCACGCGAAATTTGGTCGTAACGCCCGTAAATGAAGACCGCCGTGCAAAATGGCTCATCCGCAGCCACCAACCGACTCAAATTAAGCCTGCTCAGCCAACTGTTTTTCAGAATCCGGCAAACGTTCTGAAAAACTTACGAACAAACGCCTTCACATATTCGACACTACTGCAAAAATGAGTTTCCTTATCGACTCCGGCGCAGAGGTGTCGACAATACCGAAGTGTTCAAGCTTGGCTGAAGCATCTAAATCGGATACCAAATGGTTTGCTGCTAATGGTTCACCAATTCAAGTATTTGGTGAAGTCCTACTTAAATTGAATCTAAACTTACGTAGAGAGTTCGTGTGGAAGTTCGTAATTACCGACGTTTCTCAAGCGATTATAGGCGCAGACTTCTTATCATTTTTCAATCTACTACCAGATCTCAACCGACATCGACTACTTGACCGCCACAACGCGTTAAAAACAATGTGCTCGATAAAGTCAATTAATACACCGAATATATCAACTATCAACGTAAATATGCCATGTCGGATATTTTGTTAAAATTTCCGAAAATAACTCATCAACCTTCTCTAGAAGTTTCAACAAAATCTACAGTTGTCCACCGGATCATTACGTCCGGACAACCGGTATTTGGCAGACCAAGGCGGTTATCACCTGAGAAGCTTGCTGCAGCACGTGATGAATTCGAGCTCTTAATGAAACTTGGCATATGTCGGCCGTCTAGTAGCGACTGGGCGAGCCCCCTGCACATGGTCCGCAAAGCACATGGTTCTTGGAGATTTCACGCACATATTATCAGGCAAAACAATTTTTTCAAAAATCGAGCTACAGAAAGCTTTTCAACAAATCCGTGTACATGAAGAGGATGTGTGCAAAACGGCCATTACAACCCTTTTCGGACTGTACGAGTTCACTCACATGACCTTTGGATTACGCAACGCCGCACAGACATTTCAAAGGGTTATCAATGAAGTCCTTCGCAGAGTAAATAATACTTTCGTCTACTTGGATGACATCTGCATAGCTTCTGCCTCGACGGAGGAGCACCACAAAGACCTTGAAAACGTATTTCAACGATTCAACAATTTGACAATAAWCATTGCAAAGTCGATACTCGGAGTACCGGAACTCGAATTCCTTGGGCATCTTATCACCCAAGACGGCATACAACCATTGCCAAATCGTGTCAAGACTTTCACAGATCTTAAACTTCCAACTACTGCGAAAGACCTAAACCGGTTCCTCGAAATGGTAAATTTTTATAGACCTTTTTTGAAAAATCCTCTTCTACATCACTCACCCCTCATATGGACGAAAGAAAATATAAAACATTGCGAGTCCTGTAAGGAGGACCTAGCTAAATATGCGCTGCTAGCACTTCCCACTCCCAACGCGCAGCTGTCATTGTGGATTGACGCATCCGACTATGCAGCCGGTGCAGCGCTACACCGAGTAGTTAACAACACGCTCCAACCGCTGGGTTTCTTCCAGCGAAAATTTAAAAGAGCAGAACAGCGATACAGTACTTACGACAGGGAGCTCACAGCTATGTATCTCGCTATCCAACATTTCCGTTTTATGCTTTAAGAACGAGGTTGCCACGTCTACACAGACCAAAAACCTCTCACATTCGCATTACATCAAAGACTAGAAAAAGYTTCGACTAGACTTTATCGCTCAAATCACCACAGACATCCGTCACGTGTCTGGTCAACAAAATGTTGTCGCCGATATGATGTCCCGCATTGAAGCAATAACCTCGGAAACAACTTTTCAATCAATCAACTATGACGACTTGGCCACCGATCAAGTGACAGACGAGGAGCTCCAATCCTATCTCAATGCGCAAGTGAAGCATTCATTCTAATTCGTACGCTCTTCCTTCCAGCACAAAAAAGGTGTACTGTGATATTTCGACCGATCGCATCCGACCGTTCATCACCAAGCGATTCCGCCAAGCAGTACTTTGGAGAATCCACAACATTTCGCACCCCGGTTCACGTACAACATCAACGATGATGAGTGAATGTTTCACCTGGCCCGGAATCCATCGCGACAGTCATAATTTTGCAAAACATTGCCTACGCTGTCAACGTAATAAAATCACCAGACACAACGTCACTCCTATGCAACATGCGTTATTGAACGCTTCGCCCATTTACACATCGACGTCGTGGGACCGTTTCCGCTGTCCGAGGGTAATCGCTACTGTTTAACAGTAATCGACCGTTTCACCCGGTGGCCAGATGCTTTCCCGATTCCAGAGCACCGCACCAACAGTAGCTAAAGCATTAATTAGCGGCTGGATATCGAGGTTCGGAATCCCCACCGACATAACGTCAGACCTGGGACGCCAATTTGAATGCACACTTTTTCAACATTTACTCCAATGCATAGGTGTTAAATATCTTCGAACTACGCCTTACCATCCACAAAGCAACGGGATCGTCGAACGTTCRCACAGAACCCTCAAGTCAGCCTTACTTTGTCATGACAAGGAACATTGGACAAATTTTCTACCGATAATTCTTTTGGGACTCCGCTGCGCATTCAAATCGGATATTGGAGCATCACCGGTCGAGCTACTTTTTGGGATGACGCGACGCTTGCCATCCGAATTATTCATCAACTCTCCTGTACCAGATAATGAGACTGAAGTTGTTGCTCAGTTGCGACAAATAATGCGCGACCTACGTCCGGTCAACACGTCTTGGCATACCACTCAGAAATCTTTTGTGCACACAGATTTAAAAACGTGCGACCAGATTTTCATCCGTGACTTGTCGGTACGACCATCATTATTAACTCCTTACAAAGAGCCTTACAAGGTTATTCATCGCTATCAAAAATATTTCATCGTCGACATTAACGATAAAGCAGTCAACATTTCTAACGACCGTTTGAAACTTGCTTACACCGCCGCAGATTCCAACTAGGAGGGGAATACTGTGGCAGCACCGCCACTCATTTCGGAGTTAATTATAGTTGTATTAAGCATGGTAACTCTACCTGCTACTTTGACATTTCGCTATGTATGATTTTCTTTTCCTTCTGTGTCAAACCTTTATGTGAAATAAAATGCGAAGATCGCTCTCTTTCTTCTTGGAAATTCGTCGCAGAAGAACGCGCCCACACGAACRCTACACATATATATTTATATATTAGGCTAGTGGCGCTGAGAGCGCTTAGTTCTAGTTTTATTCGTCGCATCGGGTCATGCTATACCTTTTTGGAAAGCGCATTTCATGCGCTAAAACGTGTTTGATTGATTGTCGTTTCTTTTAAGTCGTCCGTGAGTTATAGCGTCGCACACATGGAGCAAAATAAAGAGGAAATACGGTATATTTTACAGTACTATTAGGATAAAGGCAAAAATGCATCTCAAGCCGCCAATAAAGTTTGTGCAGTTTATGGACCCGATATAGTTTCCATTTCCACCGCACAACAATGGTTGTGTTTT